TTAATTTGTAATAAAATAATAATTAATTATTTCTATGTTAATGGGCAAAATAAGTATGAAACATCAGGAAATTTATAGTTTCTAAAACTTGGCAACAATGCAAAGGATCAGTAAAAACCAGAATATTTTTTTAAAGTATTAGCATTCCCTTTAAATACGAAAAAGAAACATCATATTTCAATTAACATCGAAGATGGAAAGTACAAGGATGAGGACAATTAATGAAATTTACCTTACAAAATAATTTTATAAATAAGTAATATTATTCATTGGTGACAATGTTGCAAGATTTAAAAGTAGGATAGCAAATTCAAAAAGTTTGCAACTGTAATGCCAGATACAAAATTCCACGCATACCACCATCATAAGTATAACCATAATACAGCAATTCAGCAATTATGTTTTGTTTGGTTTAGTTCTTGTAATGCAATCTCAACATTTTTGTAAAACGAACAAACTTTGTTGAAGATTGATAACATATTTTTTTTGAGATTATTGGATGTAGTCAGGTTTGTGTAAGTGTTTTATTTTAGTTTATTCTGTATATTGGAAGAGATACAATGGAGCGCAACCATAATCGAGGATTTGATCCTGATTCAGAACTGGAGTCTCAGTTTATATTGAGATTACCAATGGTAAAGAATTTTATAAATAATGTAAGTTAACTGTTTAACTTTAATTTATTTTTAAGGAGCCAGCAAAAGTTCTTCGCGAAGCCATTAGAAATAATAGCACTTTAAAAGATATAATCTCTTTAAAAATTGATAATGACCTTCGACATGGGGAAGTAAGAGTTGACCAATGGCTCATGATTGCCAAAGTTGTTGATTTGCCAACTGTAGTTGAGTCATTGAAAACAATTGATGGAAAAGGTTTCTATAAAACGGCTGATATCTGTCAGATGCTGTTATGTCGTCATGAGGATGACCAAGTGACTGATGAAGATTCTCCTCAAAAAACTAAGAAGAAGGACTCATTAAAGGTGGAGAAGAAATATCTATGGCCTCATGGTATTACACCACCAACAAAGAATGTTAGGAGGAGAAGATTCAGGAAAACATTAAAAAAGAAGTATGTCGAAGCTCCAGAGATTGAAAAAGAAGTGAAAAGGCTTCTTAGAATAGATAATGATGCTGTATGTATTGTAGTGTAGTCTAGTTTGATGGAAAATTTTAAATATTTAATTTAGGTGAGTGTGAAATGGGAAGTCTTAAATGAAGATGATGACAATAAAGTCAATAAAGGAACTGTGATTAAGAAGGAACCAATTGATCCAAACCCCAATGTTGCTGAACATGATATATTTGGAGGAGCAGTGAGTGATTCTGAGGAAGAGGATGCCACTTTGCATGTATTGGAATTGGACGAGACAAGCCAGAATTCTGCTGAAGACAGTCATCTAACAGATTCAAACTCAGTTATGGTATTATTTTTATAGGTAGTTATATAAACAGTTTTATAATTTATTCAATGTTTCAGAACAACACTGTTGACTCCAAGATACTGACCGAATTTTCGACAGATATGTTTAATTCAATGGACATATCACCACTACAAGACTTAGATTATTATCAGCCCCAGTCATCTAGTGTCTGTTATTCTTCAATGAATTTGTCTAGAGGTAAATATATACCAAATGTTAGTTTTCATCTTTACTAATGTCTATTTTATAGCGAATATTGAAACGAGATTGGAAGAGGTGCAGGGAGAGATTGCAACAATCAAAAATAGATTGGCACAGCATGAATCTGAAATTGAGAACATCGAGAACCACTCATTGAGGCAAAGGTTCCAAGAGATATCTAGTCGCCTATACCAAGAACAATCTGACAAGGAGCGCGAACAAGTCGAACTGAACGAGCTTTTAAAGCAGATCATATAAATATTTTCTTTTATTTTTCTACATCTTGTTCATTTTGATCATGTACTTATTTTTATTATATATTACATTGTTTTCCATTCTACATTTTTTTTCGAACTGCTATCTCACGTTCGTACATCGATAGGAAACCTATGTAAGTTCGATGTTTAGATTTTTTAAGAAAACTTATATTTACAATTTGAAATGAACTTCTAGCAAGTCGCATTTTTTAAATATTTACCAAAAAAAAATTGTAATTTTTCTGTTATACATTTATTAATGTTTGAGCGCGTGATTACATGAGCTGGTTACTCTTTTTTTTATAAATAATAAATGTAAAAAATAGTGTTTTAAGGATGATATTTTTATCTATAATAATAGTCCTTTTTCTTAATTATTTTTTTGATTGAATAGATGACTGCATTTGATTTTATGGGTCAATGGTTTGCATTCAATGCAAATGAAAACAGAGGAAACGTAAGACCTTCGCTAATACAATCATAAATTGCAAGTTTTCTCCCCATCAATAGGTAATTTATTGCAAAATCCATTTGAGGATTAATTGTTCTTAATTTCTTTTATTTTGCAGGCTTCAACTTTGCGCATTGATTTTCAGCAGATGTTGATTATCGCTGTCGAAAGAGTTGCAGCCTCGTTACATAATGTTATTAATTGCCTGTGATTGACTAGACCAGATGGTGTCGTTCACATTGTTTGCAATCGACAACTAATTTAACTTAAACATAAAGTTCGCCAATATTCGAAGAAACGTCTTGGACAAATCGAATAAATGTTTTATTATGAAACAGTCGCCAAAGACGTTGTTCTTTGATTACCTTCCCACTCGAAGGTTGCATTCGTTGAGTGTATAATTTACGCATTGATTACTTTCTGCGTGGTCGACTGGCCGTCTGCTAAAGGTCCTTGGAGCATTCGCTACAAAATGCATCTTCAGATGACTAACTGTACATACTACGTGCACATTTAAATAATGCACGTGATCGAGATTTTGAGGATAAGATTAAATTTGATAAAACTCTTGTCAGCAAGGAAAAACATCATAATAGATATGTGATAGTGTTCTATTCGGTAGTGAATATTGGTTACAAAGCAATGATTCGTGGGTCCATTGAAGAGTATAGGGAGGAAAATGTGCGACAAAGGTTTCCCAGGAATCGAAGACCAAATGTCCCATATAGTTCGACTCCTAGTTTACCACAAAATTCGCCTACCTTACGACAGCGATTTGCCCAATTCGCAATAAACTTCTTCAAGAAAGATTGCAAAAGCAACAAAAAGAAAATAGATTAACTTAACACAACAAATTAAAGTAATTAATTGTTTGAAAAAATTGAATTTTTTTTTACAAATTTGCTATATGCTAATTACAATAAAAACAGATCAAATGAAAATTATCAAATCTACAGCTTTACAACAATTCACTAGCAATTTTGTGAAAGATTTGTCATAAAATATACAACTTATGTAAGTAGATTGGTTACTTTTTTGACGCCAATTATAAGGAAAATACGTTTATCAAACGATTCTAGTAAAAATTTGACCTAATATTCATGGATAAGATAAAATAGTATTAATATGTTAAAATACATGAAATATTATAATATTGGGAAAAATAATGAAGAAATTTAGCAATATTAAAAATAATTTATATCTAGATAGATATTTTGCAGCAATTTTGGATCAAGTGGCGCGCTTACTGCACCATTTAAATTTTGCATAGTACCTTATCAAAAATAAACTATTATTTAGCTGCAAAATGTTACAAACTAATTAATAATCGGTAAGTTATAGATATTTGTTATCAAGAAAGTGTTTATAAAAAATTGTTATTTTCAGAAGGATCAGAAAGTCTCGAATAAGAGGACGGTCGCTGTTAAGAACATGTTTGTTCACCATATTTTTGTTTAAACTGTTTTAAATATGGTAATGTTGATTTGTCTTTTTCATATCCCAAAAAAAAAGTAAAATTGCGGGAATGCGCGCTACAATTACCTGATCAAAAA